TGTTTTCATGGTGCTGAAGGCAGACATCAGTCAGTGGGAGACGACGGAGTCAGATGCAGAGGAGGACAGGATGGAATAGAGATAGAATGAAGCAGAATGATGAAAAAGGGGTCCCTATGTCCTCCAGCAGTCTAAGCCTATAGCAGCAGAACTATAGAGATAGATCAGGATGAATCGGTCCGAAAAGGGCGTATAGTGTATGCCCAGCTTTAGCCCCAGTAGTAGACGGGGGGAACTAATTACATGTGCATTTAAGTTCCCCATTAGCACCAGGAGGAACCAGAGAACCTTGAGATCCACCTTTGATAGAACTCTAAAATGCTGATAATCCTCTCGCAGCAGTGTGTCCAAGTTAGCTTGTCGCAGGTATGATCTGATATTTTTGATTTATTCCCAGTTTTTAAGCGTTGTCTGCGCTATTTTATTCCACGCCACAACGCCAGAGGGACAATCAGGAACTAGCTAGGATTGTGGGTGTCCGTGTGTCGGTTAGACGAGCTTGTTCGCCGTCTACAACCCCTCACCCAATGCCGGACGACACACAGTTCACCCGTGAGTGTTCCCCAAAGATCGGCCGTGGCGCTGCGTGTTTTGGCTGCAGGTGCAAACCAACAGACCGTCGCACAGAGCTGCAAACTAGCATCCTGCACGGTGTCTGGGATAGAGTCCGAGGTGAGCCAGGTGCGGTGGACGGCACTACAGCCAGAGTTTCTGCCATTAGGTACCAAACAGGAAATACTCATAGTGTAGAGTGGATGTAGATTTGACCAATCAGAGGCCTCCTGTCTGCGCTCACCTACAATTTTGGGTTAGTCTTCTGAACATAAACCAGGCTTAAGGTTTCTATATTTTGGCTTCCAGCAGCTCCGCAGCTCATTGCTACCCTCCGCATTACCATGACTGACAACCACACCACACTGAAAAATGGCGACTGTGAGTCAGCGAGACAAGCCAGCGACATCACCTTCAGCGCATCTATCAGCCCCGCCCACGGCCTCCGAAGGAAACGCCTGCTGTGGCAGACCGCGGTCAGGAACATCATCGATCAGCACAACCTTTACTCTCTGAGGCTCGCCGGAGGACTGGAGAGAGGACGCCACCGCATCACCGTCACAGATGCCTACATTGCCGACATCAACAGGTAGGGTGTCTAAAGTGGCCCTACGGGCGAATGGAGGGCTTTGGACTCTTTGGTCAGGGATCTTTCCCGTTCTGTTGCTCCGCAGGCAGATACGAAATAAAACGTCTCGTGGGAACTTTTGGCAGAAGCGTCGTTCCTCTGCAGCTCGAGTTCATCCAACGGTGCCAAGGATTTCTGTTCAGACACAAGTCGGCCAGCGTTTGCTGACTGATGCTGACTTCTTTGTGTCGTATGGATCAACAGTCCGAGGCATCTTCATTCCTACGATGGAGCTAACATTCAAGTAAAGAAGCACAGACTGCAACCGAAGGTAAATGTTTCCCTTAAAATGATTCGTAAAGCTTCTTTTGTTCCATCAGGTCTGCTGACCTGGAGCTGACCTACCAGCAGTTTTCCTCAGCTCAGAAAAAAACCTCCCTATTGGTCACCAACCTCATCGACGTCTTCATCCGACTGTTCATTTCTCTGGTGACATGGCCAACAGGCTGGGGGGGCGTGGCCTGTGAGTGGCTGACCGGCCTGGCGGTCATTCTCTGGGCGGGGATCTGTGGGTTGTCTGTGACTAAGCAGGAGGTGATGGCGTCACCACAGTGGCTCAGGTGAGGCCTCTTACCTGTTCAACAAAGACCAAAAAGCAGAGTACTTACCTCCCATCCTCCCTCAGGTACCTGTCGGTGGTCACCTGGCTGTCCCAGACTGTCCAGGTGTTGGTGGGTGTTTTCACCTGGGCTGAAACAGATCACTCCTGGTACGTGTTCTTCACCCTATTCTCCACCTACACCCTGCTGCCTCTGCCCCTCCCCTGGTCAATTACAACAGGGGCGATAACCTCCATCCTCCACCTGGCGGTGGATGTCTGGTGGAACAACAGTAACCAAGTTCTGATCAGAAGGGTCAGCAAACGTTTCTCTTTTTTCTATATTTGGTCCCTTTTCCTTTTTGTTTCCTCTAAATGTCATTCTCTTCCATATCTTCTCGGTTCAGGTGATCTCCAAGGCCTTGTTGTACCTTGCAATGAACACAGCAGGTATCTTCATCAACTACCTGTCTGACCGAACTCAGCGACAGAGTTTTCTGGAGACCCGTAGGTGTATTGAAGGACGGGTCCGACTGGAGAGAGAGAACCAAAGACAGGTACCTCCTACCTCACCGAATGATATCTGCCATCGTAAAACAAAATGATAAACTCTGCCGTCTTTCTCTTTAAGGAGCGTTTGGTGATGTCCATCTTACCGCGCTTCCTGGTTCTGGAGATGATTGCAGACATGGCCGCGGTGGACGAATATCTGCTGCCTCAACAGTTTCACAAAATTTACATCCACCACTACAAGGATGTCAGGTGACCAAGGAGCAGCAGAGAGCTTTTCCTTAAATCGTAGCTTTGGACTCAGCAGTAAACCCTTTCTGTTTGTCCAGCATCCTGTTTGCAGACATCATCGGCTTCACGTCTCTCTCTCTGATTCTTTCGGCTCAGGAACTTGTTAAAACCCTCAATGAACTTTTCGGACGCTTCGACCGGCTGGCTGAGGTCGCCAACTTTAAACGGTTATATTAAGAAGCCGTTTGTGTAGATAGAGGGTTATGTTTCTTTTCCTGATTGCAGGAGCATCAGTGTTTGAGGATAAAGATCCTTGGTGACTGTTACTACTGCGTCTCCGGAGTCCCAGAGCCCCAGCGAGGACACGCCCGCTGCTGCGTGGAGATGGGCCTCAGCATGATCAGCACCATACGGTCAGAAAACAGACATCCCCAACATTTTGCCGCAAAGTGTCTCGGGAGGACACATGTCTCTCACTGCAGGTATGTTCGCCGAGAGCTGCAGCAGGAAGTAGACATGAGGATTGGCGTCCACTCGGGTTCGGTCCTCTGTGGTGTGTTGGGGCTCCAGAAGTGGCAGTTTGACATCTGGAGCTGGGATGTTGACATCGCCAACAGTCTGGAAGCTGCAGGAGTGCCAGGGTCAGCAACACGTGGTTATGTCTCTGTTTAGTTTCAAGCAGCTGCCCCTTACCCTGGTCCCCAGGGTCCTCAGGGGCCCCTGTGTGTTGGTAGGTGTCGCCTACCAACACACACCTGGTTAAGATAAAGGAGTGATTAATCAGCCTCTCAAGCTCTTCCTGTCTGCTGAGGAGGCAATGCAACACAGAAATATCAGGAACATGGAGGTTCAGGAGCCCCTGAGGACCAGGAGACCCTGAGGACCAGGAGCCCCTGAGGACCAGGAGACCCTGAGGCCCAGGAGCCCCTGAGGACCAGGAGACCCTGAGGACCAGGAGACCCTGAGGACCAGGAGACCCTGAAGCCCAGGAGCCCCTGAGAACCAGGAAACCCTGAGGACCTGGGATCCTGGAGTACCTGGGGACCACCTGGGGACCAAGTTGGGCACCAGTGGTTTAAAGACTCATCCTTCATGCTCTCCCCTCTCAGGCAGGTCCACATCTCTCAGGCCACTCTGGACTGTCTTGGCGGGACCTTTGAGACGGAGCAGGGCAACGGCCAGGACCGCAGCGAGTTTCTACGGAAACACAACATCGAGACATATTTGATCCGCCCGGCGACACGAGATGAAGCCCAGCCCCCAAGAGCAAGGCGCCCAAGTTACGACGAACTGACCACTTGGAGCGCTGAGCTGCCGTTCGGAGACATCCTGGGGATGAATTTTGTAAGTTGTTCTGGAATTATTTGGATTTTTTTCAGAGCGGTTTCATCACGTCGGTGCTTTGTGCTTCACCGGGCCTTTTTAGATCCTGGCTACTTTCACCAACGGTTCCCTGACCCAGTTGCCGAATCACATCGCAGCGCAGCGATCCGGCTCACGGGAAGTGAACAAGAGGATTCGTCAGGCAATGGAAGCTCGGAGCAGCGAGCGAATGAGGAAAGAGCACATCACCACTTTCACTCAGGTGTTCAAGGATTCCCAGATGGAGGGAAAGGTAGCTTCCTGCATTGAATGTGGCCGATTCTCAGGTGTACGGCGAATCACCACAGTCTCCTTTTTCTTCTTCTTCTTCTTCAGTATTCCCAGATGAGGGATGAACTCTTCAAGACTAACATGGTTTGCTCCTTCGTCCTGCTCGTACTGCTGATGGCCGTCCAGGTGTTGGTTCCTGCCCCGCGGTACTCTTCAAACAGGATGGCGTCATCAGCTAACGGCTTAACATTCCCTTCTCCCTGACCGATACTGTCCATGTCTCTCTGCTCAGGTTGCGTCCAATGGTGGCACAGTTCCTTGTCAGTGTCTGCGTTTACCTCCTCCTCCTGCTGCTGACTCTGGGGGAGGAGTTTAAACACTGCCCCGCCCACCTGCAGTCCCTCTGCTGCTGGGTTCATGAAACCAAGTACGCGCGAACGGTGCTCATGCTAACTGCCATCGCCGTCAACTCCGTGATTGCCTCTGTGAACATCGTAAGTCTGGATATTTAGTCGTTCTTTAAGAATCGGGTCCTTCAACCGTGTGTTATAAATGCATCACGGTATGTTCAGGGCAGCTGGGAAACTGGAACTGCTGCTGAAGTTTCTTATAAATGACATCTTCTGAAATCTTTGTTCCGTTTTATGCTCCATCTTTACTCCCGTTGTTTTCCAGCTGTGGTGCGACTGGTCGGAATCTGTCTTTCCTGAGGCCACAGTGACTCCGCCCCCCTCCAGGTGGTCAGACATAAACATCTGTACTCATCCAGAGGTCAGAGCTGCTCCTCCAGTAGAAGCGGGTGACCTAGCGGTAGCCTGTAAACCTGTCCACCATCTCGTTACCAGTTCATGGTGCTGAGTGCGGTGGTTGCCATGGTTACGTGCGCGGTGTTCCTCAGGCTGAACTGCATGCTGCAGTTGGCCTTCCTGCTGCTGACCGCCGGCCTCTACGCCTACGTCATGGAGACGCACAGGTAGGCGTGCCGCCTGCGCCGTCTGCGTCCGGCTCCTGCGCATCCTGTCTGACGTTCTTCCGTTTCTGGTCCGAGGTCAGCTCCCAGCAGCAGTGCCAGAGGGGCGTCTGCCTGGTTCTCATGATGATGTTCGTCCTGGCGGTGCTCTACAACAGCAGACAGGTGAGGAAGGGAGAGCGCGCTGACTGACTGAGCTGCGGCTCGCCGCCACCTCCTCACGCAGACCTCTCCTTCTGCTTGGCCGGTAGCTGGAGGCGATGGCACGGCTGGACTTCCTGTGGCGCCTGCAGGCGGGGAAGGAGGTGGAGGACATGAAGGAGCAGCGGGAGCATAACGAGTGTCTGCTGCTCAACATCCTGCCGGCTCACGTGGCTCAGCATTTCCTGGAGAGAGACGCCAACAGCGAGGTGAGCCGCGTAGGAGCGCCATTTCTAAAGTGAATCAGTCCGACATTAGGAGCAATATTTATGGTTATTTAGCGCTTTAAGGGAAAAATAAGGTTATTTTATTCCAAGTCATTTTCTCACTTTGTCATTCAGTCATTTATAAAATTCTTACTTTGTTAAATAAATATTTAGTTTGGAGCTAAATATTTATTAAAAATTTGCAGCTAAATTAGATGCCTTGGGCCTCCATAGTGGGGCGCCCTGTCGTGGTTAACCCCTTCCTGACCGCCGCTCTGTGTGACTAGGAGCTCTACTCCGAGTCCTACCAGCGAGTCGGCGTCCTGTTTGCCTCCCTGCCCGGATTCTCTGACTTCTACGAGCAGAAAGAGCTGGTCCATCAGCAGGTGGAGTGTCTCCGCCTCCTCAACCACATCATCAGTGACTTTGACGAGGTAACCCCCCCCACCCCCACCCCCCCTCTTAGATGAAGCTCTGACCTTTGACCTTCAGCTGCTTCGCTCTCTGTGTCCCTGAAGCTGCTGGATGAGTGTTTCTTCCAGGAGGTGGAGAAGATTAAGACCATCGGCAGCTCCTACATGGCCGCCTCAGGCCTCTCACCTGACCGACAGGTAAGCCCCGCCCTCATACCTGCCCCCTGCGTTCACACCTGGCCCCTCATGGTGCTGCTGGCTTCAGGACTGCGAGGACGGCTGGCATCACCTCAGTGAGCTGGTGCTGTTCGCTCTCGCCATGGAGGAGACGCTGCGGCAGATCAACACGCAGACTGGAAACCAGTTCCAGCTCCGAGTCGGTGGGAGCA